TCTACCAAAATCAATGGATGTCCTTCACCTTCAGGGTCAATCAGCAGTTATGTACGGGGCTCCCTAGATAAGCTATATCAATGTTTGTACTGCACAATGCGAGTTCTTGAGCAATAGTGGAAGGAATGAATATTTAAAGGGGTTCTCCGAATGATAAAACGGGCATCTCATATTCAGCCTTAGTATTTATCTAATTTCTAGACATATTTGCAGCTCATAAGCTCCTCTATAAATATTTCCCTGTGAGTGGGAGTAGAAATCTTACTGAAGATAACGTTAAGCTTCACAAACAAAAAGGAACTGCAACTCTATTTCACTCTTCTTGAAATCGCCATCTGATTGCGTACAAATTCCTGTATATGTGCATTCGCAATATACATGAATTACCTGGACCTGATAAATAGATGCTCTATATCTGCTTTACTCCAATCCACATGATGAACTAGAAATCGCCCGAGGTAGAATACACTTCGTCATCCAAGCAAACTCGAAATCTCTGTATGCCCCCCAGAACCCCTTGGGAAATGTCTTTGTGCGAACAGTTTTATACCCTCTCCTCTCCCAATACGACCCATTTATTGCTTTTGTTGCCTTTACCCACAATGTCAACGGTTGTTGTCGCCCTTGTGCGATTGCACCCTTAGCATCTTCTTTTTCGGCCTGTTCCAGCCGCTCCATCAAATCTTGTTCCAGGAGCGACACACATCGAACAGCGAAACCGAGTTTGCTTAGTTGGGGATCTTGGCGGACAACCACGACTGCGAGTTCCCAGTCCGTTATGGATCTGATATCGATCTCAGAGTGTTCAGTTTTGACTCGCTGGGCGGCAAGTGTCGCCTGCTGATCGTGTAATTCGCTTGTCGTCCCATTTGTCCCATTGGGAGAGGAAACCTCTTGGCCATCTCCGTTCTTCAGTGATGGCGCCGATACTGGATCTCCTTCGTGATACGCCTTTATCATGCTACAAGCAACTATCCTTGGGTCCTTATCTGGCTGTGATTGTGTGATGATGCAACATCTTCCCACTTCGTCTAAGCTGTCGACTAATTCTGCTACATTTTCAAATCTTCCCCTTTGCTCCGTTGCGAACAATTCGTGATGGCGAATGTGGAATCCCTCGTTCACCATGGACCTGAGTGCCTCGAGATTCGGGTACGCGGCTAGTTGCTTCACATCAAGAAGCGCGGAATGGAATTCAGAAGAGAGTTCCATTGTGGAAGATAAATAACTCGTGGAGTCCTGTTTTTGTTCGGGTCAATGAGGTTCTTCTAAGGTGAAAACTGGTGTTGGAGATGGGAAAAGGGATTTGATCGTCTCAAGTGGGGAATGAACAAGGAGGCTATTTGGATGCCATATCCGGCCTTAGCCGGGTTAATGTTTCATCAAAGTATTGTTAGCTTCTCAAGGATTGTAGAAACCGCCTTGCTCACCAGCTCCTTATGCCTCTCAAACCACTCGATATCTTCCGCGAGAACAACAACCTTACGCTGCTTGATTGCGCGTTGCCACTGTTGAATGTCACATTCCCTACTAATCTACCTGATGCACTAACTTATTGCAAAGAAACCTGGCTGATTCATAGAGAATCGATTGTCCTCTACTCCACCGGTCAAGTCATTCATTTTGGCCATAGAGAATCTTCTCGTGTTGAAGGTGCTTATCATTCGATAAGGATATTGGGTTACTGAAGGTTTGCGCTTTGAAGATTGCCGCAAAGGTTGCTGAAGGACTGAGCGGGGTTGACACATCAATCAATCACCTTGAAATACCTGGCGAGTGGTGCACACAATCAAGGATGGCTGGCTGTTGATATACCTCCTGGTAAAGTCAGCCCAGCTTCGCTCCTTCAACACAGAGTGGTGTCTTACATGGTAGTACAGAAAACTGCTGCAGACATCAACCACACAAGTGAGCAAATCAAAAAAGGTGTACTGCGTATTCCAAAGGAGTCGGCCCAGTCTCTTCACCTGTATCAACTTCGTCACAAGGTTGCCTGCCTCCAATTCCTTTGCAAAAACCTACCTGATATTCCTGCACCAAGAGTTCTTCACTGGGATGGTCAACCTGGGCATGCTTTTATTGCACAGGAATTTATTGATGAAGAGCGCCTAAGCATTGCCTTGCCATGGCTCTCTGAAGATCAAAAGGCAACAATTTACTCGGAGCATTGCCTGCATTATTGCCAAGATCGGAAAATGCGATTTGATTTTATTGGAGGTCTTGACCCAGATTCTCACACTGGGACCGACGATTGAGGATGGCAAAATATTTAATGGTAGGGGTCGAGTAAGTCCGTAGTCTAGCGATTCCTATCTCAACGGAGCAATTGCTAATTGTTTACATAGGCTAAATTCCACACTCATGATTATTATAATATTAGACCATACTCCAATAGCAAGGATTATATCCTATCTTGCTATTATCGCGAGATATTATTACACCCATGCAGACAATAATGATATTTTAATGGATCTGTTTGACAAGGTCACTGTTGCCCAATTTATTGAGTCCTTGAAATTTGAGAAAGAGAATATTTCAAACAATGTCCAACTCTTCCAAACTCCTGATGCTGAGCCCTGGGTCCTAGTACATGAGGATTTCCATGCTGGCAACGTGCTTGTTCGTGATGGTTGTCTAGTGGGGATTGTGGACTGGGAGTTCTCTGGTGTCTATCTGTCTATCCTCTTAGCGAGCTTCTAGGTGCAATTCAGATGATCCAGGTCTCCCCACCTGGCCGGAGTGAAGGGGCGGAAGAGGAAGAGGAAGAGGAAGAGTGGGACAGGCAAGACCATCAAGATCTAGAAAAAATTTTCAGCAAAGAAGATGGACTAAGGTAAATATAAAGATTCTCTTGGGAGGCAGCTGGCCAGCTTTTCAGGAGAACATCCCATGGACGCGAGCCACTCTGTTTTGCATTAATTCCCTGCTGTTACATTCCTTCTTTGCTAAGCTCTCCTTATCTGTTTGTTCTGGTACATGTACATGTATATATCGCCAGCTGGACCGTTCAGAAACCGCTGTCCTTTTTGCCATATTCAATCACGCTTCCTTATCACTTGGACTGGGCCACAACTCATGAAACAAGAATTGATCCATTTGCGTAGTGGTAAAACCCCTGCAAAATCATGTTTCGCATTAAAAGTTACTGTTCACAACTTCTCGCCTTTCAGGTCTGTTCCTAATGTTGGTTTATTTTCAATTTCTTGAACGCCTCTGCATTTTGTCTGATCGCAATTTCAACGGGTAAACGTTCCATGCTACTTGCGCCGTAGAAACCGTGAACACCATTGGTGCGCGTCAGGACATATTCGGCGTCTTTAGGTTCAGCAATGGGCCCGCCATGGCAGAGCACAATAACGTCCGGGTTGACTATGACAGCAGCATCGCGAATCTTCTGGATGATATTCACGGATTCATCTAAGGATAACGCAGTAGCCGCCCCGATGGCTCCAGAAGTGGTCAACCCGACATGGCAGACAATAATATCGGCCCCCGCTCGTGCCATCTTTTCTGCATCCTCTGGGGTGAATACGTACGGAGTGGTAACCAAATCGAGCTCATGTGCAATTTTGATCATTTCAACTTCCTTGTCATAGCCCATCCCGGTTTCCTCAAGATTTTGACGGAATTTGCCATCGATAAGCCCAATTGTTGGGAAATTTTGAACCCCACAGAATCCGATCTCTTTAAGCTGGGCAAGGAAATGAGGGATGGACCTAAATGGGTCTGTACCGCACACTCCAGCTAGCACGGGGGTATTCTCCACAACAGGGAGGACTTCAATTGCCTGGATCCATTATCAACTTGCCGATTCAAATCGAAATTGCCATTTTGTATATAATATGTTCCATTACAACTCACCATTTCGACAACAATCTGATTTGCATCTCCGTATGGCATCATTCCAGCCAATGAGCCACGTCCAGCCATACGAAAGCGGCCAGAATTGTACACGACAATAATATCACAACCCCCCTTCTCGACGCTTTTTGCAGAAAGCCCAATACCTGAAAGTTCATTAGATGTGTGTTTAAGAGTAGAGAGACATAGGGATCGCACCCACCAGCTCCGGCGCCAACAATTATTTCATTTTTAGAAATTGTATCCCTTAGTTTTTGAAGGACCTCAGTTCTTGTTGTTGGGCGAGGCATAGTTAGCTATGACAAGGACCGTTTTTGCAACGTCATGCGGGGATGCTGTTAAATGTCGACACAAAAAATACCGCCGGTAAGTCTACATATTGCAAGCCAATAGACACAGTGTGGAAACTCGGTTGAATTAGATATATTCCCAGGGAGATTACAGCAGATATTTGTAAAGTGTCAGGTACAATCAAGTGGACTTTATGCATGGCATTCCCGGTTGCACATTATTAAGCTGTGGCTCCCCCTCAACCCCACATCACATCACTCTACATGATGTAAATGTTAAGTCAGTCCACAGGTAGAAATTTTCAAAAATATTTCAGGAACACAAATTCTGTCCTTCTGTCAGATTTACTTGCGATAATACATGCCACATAATACGGCGCACGTCAAGCAGCGTGTAGCTGTTTTAATCCGCCGACAAGTACTCATGACAACCTTAGGGTGGTCCGTCCTATACAAATCTATAACCAACAAATGAGGTGCAACTTTCAATGACTTTGAATTTAGATTTAATGAGATACCGGCCCTTGCTGATTGAATTCCAAGCTTAGATTCCCGGAATTCTTCCTCTTCATATTTAAAGCCCCTTACCACTCCCGCACATTTCGCGTACGCTCGCATCTTGAGGAGCACTAGCGTATCTCGTATCAAAGTGGAAATTCGTGGAGATGACAACTCACCAAACATTAACCACTATTGCTATTATTGGAACTTGTGATTCGAAGCTCGATGAACTGCTATTCCTTCGTGATCGGATATTAGAACGCAATCGATGCAAAGCATTACTGATAGATGTGGGACGAAATCCATGTCAGCACGAATCAATTGACATAAGAAATACAGACCTTATTAATGCTGCCGCAACATCTCCTCCAGGAGGAGCAGGCATCGATATTCTACCGCTCTCCAGAACGGAGTATATCCAATACATGATAAAATGCGCCAGTTCCTATATACAAGACCTTTATTCTCGTAGGGTTATCCACGGAGTCATTTCGATTGGCGGGTCTTGTGGTACATCTCTTGCCTCCGGCGCGATGCGGAATGCGTTGCCAGTTGGATTCCCCAAGTTGATCGTTTCAACGATGGCGAGTGGAGACGTGAAACCTTTCATAGAGGAGACGGACATCACGATGATGTATAGTGTCGTTGATATCGCAGGCACTAACTCAATATTGAATCAAATAGTAGCAAATGCTGCTGGGGCCATCGAGGGCATGGCGACATCCCACAGGGCCTATGTGGACAAACCAGTTGCAACCGGCCTGAAACGGATAGGCGTGACGATGTTCGGAGTCACAACCCCTTGTGTCGATCTAATCCGACTTCACCTCCAGAGTAATTATAACTACGAGGTTTATGTTTTCCATGCTACTGGCGCCGGTGGCAGAGCAATGGAGCGGCTCGTTAGAGAAGGGAAAATCGACGCTGTTATCGATGTGACTACAACGGAAATCGCAGACGAGTTATTCGGCGGCATCCTTTCCGCTGGCCATGATCGTTTGCGTGCGGCTGCCGAGGCTGGAATCCCGCAGGTTGTCAGCGTGGGCGCCTGCGATATGATCAATTTTGGCCCGAGAAGCACAGTTCCTAAAAAATTCCTGGGCCGCAAACTCTACGAGCATAACCCTACAGTCACTTTAGTTAGGACTAGCGAAGAGGAATGCGCTCAGATTGGCGAATTTATCGCGACACAACTTCGGAACCATGTTGTCAATCCAAAGCTGGTCGAGGTCATTCTGCCCACCGGCGGCTTTAGTCTCCTGTCAACACCTCATAGCCCATTCGATGACCCCGTTGCTGACAAGGCTCTTTGGGACGCGTTGAAGAAGGGGCTGGAATCAAGCGGTATCAAAGTGTCAAAAAAAGAATGTGATATCAACAATGGAGAATTTGCGGTGTTGTTAGCTGAGTCCTTGGTCTCAATAATTCGGGAGCAACCCTAATATTACAGTGTTGAAGAAAAAGGCGGCCAATGTGATGATTTTATCATTGCCAGGAGGATTCCGGTTTCCATTTTCCAATTATAGTCGTTCCTCTCTGGGACATTCTCAGTATACCTGTTGCGGACATTCATGCCTTTCTCGATCCATAGCTCCTGGGCTTGACATTTCATCGCCCATAAAAATTAACTTAGAATTAACTTAGCTGTCTTGACCGGAATAACAGCGGCCCGATCGCTTGGCGGTATGGTGGGATTATTTTTCCCGAAGTTAATCAAAAAGATATCCAACATCATCTCTCCAAACATCTCCTGTCTCGATATACCTCTACCTTTTCCGGTATTTCCTACTTATTATCTTCTCAAGTACGTTTTCTGTTACCGCCTGTATTTAAATTAAGTGTGTAAATAAATTTCTTCTATTGATTTTCTAACTTTCTGACTGACTGATTACTTTGCAGACAAGTACCCCGCCTCCCATCCTTCACCATACATAGCCATCATGAGCGCCCCAGCCCACAAATTCAAGATCGCTGACATCGTAGGTTATCTGTTCTACCTATTATACGGTTAATTGATCCATTGGGCTCACTCCTTTCATTTTAGTCACTGGCCGCCTTTGGCCGCCGGGAGATTGATCTCGCCGAAGGGGAGATGCCTGGTCTCATGGCCATTCGTGCGAAGTACGCCGAAGCCCAACCATTGGCTGGTGCTCGCATTGCCGGATGTCTTCACATGAGTACATCTACTCGCGTTGTAATTCTTTATTTGAGCATTTATTAACTAATGGTTGATGCCAGCTATCCAAACCGCTGTTTTGATCGAGACTCTAAAAGCCCTTGGTGCGGAAGTGACCTGGACAAGCTGCAACATTTTCTCTACTCAAGATCACGCTGCAGCTGCTATTGCTGCTTCAGGGACTCCAGTGTAGGTTTATTAATTTCTCGACTCCTCGTAGCCTCAGTTTTACTCCGTGGGACGGCCTCTAACATGAAACCCCTACAGATTTGCCTGGAAAGGTGAGACCGAGGAGGAATACAACTGGTGCCTTGAACAGCAGCTGGTTGCATTCAAGGATGGAAAACAACTCAACCTCATCCTTGATGACGGTGGTGATTTGACCGCACTCGTGCACAAGAAATACCCAGAGATGCTCAAGGACTGCTATGGACTATCAGAGGAGACCACTACTGGTGTCCACCACCTGTACAGGATGTTGAAGAACAACGAACTTCTTGTCCCTGCTGTGAATGTTAACGACTCTGTCACCAAGTCGAAATTCGACAACCTTTATGGGTGCAGAGAATCCCTTATTGATGGAATAAAACGTGCCACCGATGTCATGATTGCTGGGAAGGTTGCAGTGGTTGCTGGATTTGGCGACGTTGGGAAGGGATGTGCTCAGGCCTTACACAGTATGGGTGCGCGTGTCATTGTGACTGAGATTGATCCCATAAATGCCCTTCAAGCGGCTGTTTCCGGCTTCCAAGTTACCACCATGGAGGAGGCCGCCCCTATCGGGCAAATTTTCGTAACCACCACAGGATGCCGTGATATCTTGACCGGGGAACACTTCTCCGTCATGAAAAATGATGCAATTGTTTGCAGTAAGTGATCCTTGGGGGAAGCGCTATCGTTTTGGTAAACTTTGCTGACACAAAGATAGACATTGGCCATTTCGACATTGAGATCGATGTTTCTTGGCTCAAGGCCAACGCCAAATCTGTTCAAAACATCAAACCCCAGGTCGACCGCTTCCTTATGCCAAACGGCCGCCACATCATCCTCCTTGCTGAGGGTCGTTTGGTGAATCTTGGCTGTGCCACTGGTCACTCCTCTTTTGTCATGTCATGCTCCTTCTCCAACCAAGTCCTTGCCCAAATATTGCTTTACAAGTCTCAAGATGAAGCATTTGGCAAAAAGTACGTCGAGTTCGGCATCACTAGTGGCAAGCGAGATATCGGTGTTTATGTTCTCCCCAAGGTTCTTGATGAGCAGGTTGCTCTTTTGCACCTTGATCACGTCAATGCCAAGTTATCCAAGCTCACACCGAAGCAAGCGGAGTATCTGGGCTTGGAGATTGATGGCCCTTTCAAGGCTGAGATGTAAGCAATGTCCCCATGAAAACTCAAAAGTGATCCTTTTAATGTGGCGGAAACATATTCTGACTGACTCCTTTCTTGGGCAGCTACCGTTACTAAAACCATTTTCTTCTGTTTTCCGTGCATATACCACTTGCGCAATTGCTGGGGTATGCATGCATGACACATAGACTTTTCAACATGAGACTACGATGTTATGAACAAATTGCAGGGCTATTAGTCCATTTAGACCTGAGGCCCAGGCAAGATCAAAAGCATTTGTCCTTCAACGGCAAAAATCGGTTCAACAGGCATAATCTGGGGTTATTGTTTTCCTTTTCTTCGTTCAGTTTGGTTCATCCTTCGCGTGTGGGGTAAATATATATATACTTTTAAACGTTATTTCGTTTGCTTTTCTGGCTTGTGGCTATGTCCTTTTCACTTTATTTTCAACAAAGGCAACTCTGACTTCATAGAAACCAGCGTTATATCTGTGTTATTGGAGCTAAATTTCATTCTTATCTGCTTCTAGCTCCAAACAAATGCTGGGGGACATGAACAGGATACAGGATACCCATTCTAAAATCAAAATCAAAATTTCAACATCAACTCACTGTTTATTCTCATCTATCGGAAATTAGTGGGGATCATGATGTTATCGGACTATTGTGGCGCATATGAGGTATACAAGAGACATTCAACCCCCCCCCTGCAAAATATTTCAAGCAAGAATATAAACCCTCGCGGTTCATCTTACGCTCCTTCTATTTCACCAGCATCTTGATTCAATTCTATCAAGTTACAAAATTTGTCCTAAGGTATAGGACCATTCAGGATATATGCTATTATACATGAAGCTACAGATTTAACGGTCAGGGAGGTAACCCGGAGTCAAGAAGTTGAGAATTGTTCGCTCACAAATTTCTGTTACTCGTCAACGAGATAAATCCGTGGAAATGCAGCAAAGCGATTGGATATGGACCTAGAGAAGATGTCAAGTGAGTCTTGATGTCCGATTTGGAGTCCCTTCCACTCCTTCGCTTATCATGATCAAGCGCTGGCGTTCATCCAGACAGAATACCTCGGTCAAAGATAATGCAGTACTCGCGGGTATTTGCATCTGCTTGCCACGATGCACTCTGTTATGTATCCTGTTTTACGCAGAACGCAGCCCGAATTGCCGAGAGAACCAGCCTAAAAACAGGATGAGAAAGTCCAATAGTAGAGAAACAGAGGGACAAATAAGAATAGCTTTGAGATTACGATCTTGACGCAATCTTTACAATCCTCATGCCACCATGATACACCAAAAAGGAATGAAGAAATGTGGACTACAAAGTAAAAGGAGCGTCGAATCGTCAGTTTGATAATGCTTTGGCGTGGAAGGCAAAAAAGCATAACTAATTATTCTTGCGCAACTCCCATTTCCCAGCAGTGGAACATCCCAATAACATTATAACAACATAGAAAGAGAGGAACGCAGTTAACGATTTTTCCGCCTTGAGGAAAGCCCTTGGGGATTCATTCATGATTTTGCGATGCCAACAATACCAGAATCCGATAAGCTGTTCTCAGCGGGTGTGTCCATTCTTGACATGCAGATCGAAAATTTCGTTCGGGTCTGCAGATTTTGTCTGCGTTCCTTCTGAGACAAGAGCATGATTGGCTGCTTGAATCGTTTAAAAATTTTTCAGTCTGCACTGCTTGCGGAGCTCCGATAAAAGCACCAAAATTGAGAACAATGCAGCCTTCTTTCAATCTGGTCCAGCTATTGCTCTCTAGCGGGAGCTAGCTTCGGCCCTGGTCGTTTTGGCGCAGCACATGTATTGGCCTCTGACAGGCCAAATGTTGAAGATCAGATAAAGATATGGGAATTTTCAAAAACAACGAGCAAATCGCTGTATCCAAACGCCAATAATGAATGACGACGATACTTAGCTTGGATGCTACTCACGTTGAAAATAGTGGGCGCAATGATTCCTCCCAAGAGTCAATGATCCAATTAAAACCACCCTTCTCCGGCAAAGACAGGAATCAAGCCACACAAGCTGAAGCTGTTTGAGCTACGTAACCAGAGAGAAATACCACGTACAGCTACACAAGAAGGGAGCAAGGCAGAGTGGGGTGCAAATCGTTCCCGTTTGTGAATTTGTTCCATTTTCTCTTGGACAAACTCCTCTGACCTCAAACATCCGACGTCAATCTATCTCAGGCCATAAGAGTGCGACAATTATTCCTCGATTATGCAGATATAACTATGTCCTGTTCAGTGAAGCAATTTAACGCTTAATGCTGTTCTTTCGATAAAAATTTATCGCCAGTATATACCCAAAGCCAGGCCAATTATACCGGAATTGGTTGGCAGGTAAAGAGAAATATGGCTCGCGGAAGCAAATTGCCCTGGGGTCTTTCATTTCGATCCTCAGAATGGTTTATTCTGCTCGTGGTCTCAGCGGCGTTGTTCACGGTTGGTTTCTGCATTCTTCATCGCACCATCTTCAATTGAGTTTTGACATGCAAAGGGATCCGTCTAGCTAACGAAAATGGAAAGGATACACTTATATATGGAGTGGTTGGTATTCCAGTATTGATTTTCCTGATAAATCGACAATGCTTCTGACTCTGCCTCTCCAGATTGTCCCAATTGTGCCCTTGGCACTTACCAACCGCGCAGGTGTGCCGCAGGGGAGATGGTAGGTGAAAATTGAGCATACATTGAAAGCGCGATACCTTTTAAATCCAATGGAGATATCTTGCTAACGGTTAATAATTTTCAGTGCAAAAATGGGTTTCGATTCTTTTAGCAACATATGGCGCAACATTCCTCTTCGGATCCCGTGAGTGAAGGATAATTTCATTGCGATGAACGATGTAGGCACTGACATAAATTGCAAGTTTACATGTATGCTAACAATCTGATATTCCCCGCCCTTGACAGCCCTATTCGGTTATTTTGCGGATCGTGGCAGGAGTCGGCAATTACCGTTCGTTATGGGGTTGGTTGCCATGATATTAGCGACTTCTTTATTCCTCGTTGGGCGGTCCCCAGGCTTGTTTGTAGTGGCAAGGGCAATGCAAGGGCTTTCGGGTGGTGCCGTTGGAGCAGTCGGAATGGCATTGGCCGTTGATACTGTCCCCAAGGAAAGAATTGGGCAAGCAATGGGCTATGTCTCCCTTGCATTGACCTGGGGGGTGCTATTCGGACCAATTGTTGGAGGAGTCATGTACGCGCGTTAATATTATCTTTTCTCAGTGTCCTCGCCGCAGCCTGAAAGCACATTTAACTTATATGTTGAGATAGGTTCACCAAAGCAGGCTATTATGCAGCATTCGCGGTACCGATAGCATTACTATGCATTGACATCGTACTGCGGCTTCTTATGATTGAGAAAAACGGTATGCCTAACCTCTGCATGGGTGGTTTTCTTAGAGGATGGGAAGCTGATTTGGAGGGTTGCAGTTGCGAATAGGTGGCTCCACCATATCATAGGCGCTCGAAACCACACTGATTCATACGATCACCCATCCCCACCAGGTCCGTCGAGCCGGACTCAATCTCTGGGTTCGGACTCTGAAGACACCATTGACGAACAGTCGTCACTCATCCAACCATCTAAAAACGGCAATTCGAAGCCTACTTCCACAAAAACACTGATGATATACCACCTGCTCAAGGATTCCCGGATATTGGTTAATTTGTTTGCAACTGTGATTCAGTCAATTGTATGGACTGCATTCGAAACGGTACGTTTTCTGCAATCGCCCGTTGAGTGGACACAATACTAAACGGGGTGCTGATGTGGGTAAAAAAAATTTGACCTGTTGTAGACACTTCCCATATTCGTGATGCATAAATTCAACTGGACCCCAAGCGGAACGGGAATTCTATTTCTCATCTTCTCCCTTCCGTGCTTATTTGGAGTCTTAATAGGGAAGGGTGCGGACCGTTGGGGATCCCGCGTGTTCGGCACATTTGGCTTCATACTCGCAGGCCCCCCACTCATCCTCCTCCGACTTGTGCAGCACAACACAACAGGACAACAGATAATCCTAGGGGCATTGCTTGTTCTTGTTGGTCTAGCAATCACAGTCGTTCAAGTAATCACAATGACAGAAATTTCCCACGCAGTCGACGAACTGGAAGAGAGAGATCCAGTTTTGTTTTCGGGGCCTGGTGCCATGGGCCAGGGCTATGCACTCTATAATATGGCTTTTGCTGCTGGGCAACTTCTTGGCCCAATAATTGGGGGTTTCGTGATCACCAGTGTTGGCTGGGCGGGGCTGAATTTGGCGCTTGGTTTGATCTGTTTCGTCTCCGCGATCCCAATGGCCATATTCTGCGGAGGTACCATCACATCACAGAAAGGAAAGCTGAAGGTCCGCGATTTGTCCGGCGGTGGCGAAGCATATGAATCCTAAGGGTAAATATTAATAATAAAGGCAAAGGAAACGGCAACATTTGTTTAGTCCTCCACCTTCAACGCTGATCGGTGAACCGCCTTCTCTCTGATACTAGCCTTTCGATTGCAATTGGTCCTGATCAACAAGGAGCGGTCAAAATTTTGGTTTGCTCAATGTTTCTGGTGTAAGAATCGAGAAAGGTTCCTCTGCTCTTAGTATAGCTATTAACATATTTCATTCAGCACGAGGGGCATGCTGTTTGTGCTCTGTTGACCATGGGATCGAAACTTTGTTGCTGGAGCGGCGAGCCATTGGGCGGCTTGATCAATTTCTACTGCAGGGTCTCTTCAAGGACGACTTACTCATTTGTATGACAGTTACTTATATTTATTAAGAATTGAGAAATTAATATTTATTCCTTATAGTTATAGAAATAAGTAACTATTCGTATTGAATATTTTCTCAGATCTTTATTTTCTAGTAACGATTTAGTTATCCTCATCAACGCTAATCACCCAGGCATCTACTGTGTACGAGTAGTTTCTAAAAATCTGCTCCTTTAGACACTGTCAGCATACTGATGATCTGATTGTAGTAGATGCTAGGTGACCTGTTTCTACCGATACATGTTCCCTCTCAATCTCCATTTGAATAGGGATCTCTACCTACCTCCCTGCCTACCTCCCTGCCTGCCTCCCTGCCTGCCTGCTGAATATCCGATCGATTACTGTTATCCCACAGATCTCTATTCAAATGGAGATTAATAGCTCGCTGCCTTCCTGTTTGATATTTGATTAATATTCAATCAATTGCTACTGGAATAGCGATATCTATCTAGATAGTCGCTCTGTGAGATTCTGTGAGCATACTGCGTACTAGAATAGAAACATCTAGAGAGGTTTCTATCTGTGATATATCTGCTGAATCTCTTATTGGAATAGAGATCTCTAGCTATTTGCCTACTTGCTAGATATTTGCTCGATACCTCTAGAAATAGAGATTGCTAACTAGCTGCCTACCTCTTGATACCTTGAGGCAGCCCTATACGCTAGGTCCCAGCTGCCTTAGTTACAAATGACCTGAACCCAGCACCACTCCGCTGGCCAATCGAACAAGCAACGCGTTCTTGCAATTTCGCAGAATCAGACCATTGGGAACTGGGCCACCCGGCCGACAGACACAATTCTCCATTTCACCCCTTCGCAGAAGTATGGCAACACACATGGAACCCAGCAGAGTCAAGTACAAGTTTGTGGAAGAAGTTGAGCGCTTGGACTATTATGTTCCCAGAGGTTACCATCCTGTCATGATTGGTGATGAATTTTGTGTGGGTTATGTTATCACTCATAAACTTGGATTCGGCTGATCTGCCACAACCTATGTAGCTGGCAGATGATAGAAGGCAAAGTTGATTTGTTGCCCTCAAGATCTCCACAGCAGAATCAGCTGAGTGAAATGTGTGAGATTGTAGATTCTTTCACAGCTAGCTAGGGCTAAATCTGGGCTCCCTGAGAAGGCTGTTGTACAGAAGCTGCTCAATTTTTTTCACATTGTCTGGATCAAATGGCACTCATCAATGTTTGATCACAGATGCTGCTAGAATCAATATTCATGAAGCAAAAGAGGCTGCATATTCATCAATTTCTTCATCTCTCTGCTGCTCATGCCATCACCTCACAACTTATACTGAGTCTTCAATTGATTCATTTCAAGGTATTGTTCATGGCAGTATGTTTGACCTGCTAAAATTCCTTTTCATTTAACTCAGAGAGTATGAATTATCATCTAAACATGACTACAGATCTTCATCTTGCAAATATTCTTCTTCACTTTTCATTTGATATGCAAGATATGACTCTTGAGCAGCTGCATGCTAGAACTGATGAATCAGTAAAAGAGTATGTTGTTCATGAAGATGGCACTCCACTTGTCTCAGAAGTTCCTTCAGAAGTTGTTGTCCCTGTTTGGCTTGGACTCAGTAGCAATGAGATTTCCCTGGCAGATTCTGCCATTATGATTGCAGATTTTGAAGAAGCATTTGATCCTCGAGTGACATGACAGTTCAGCGCCCATACGCCACTCTCACTACCAGAATCCCGCTTTGCAGAACCTGGAGAATCAAATCATTGGATAGGGTTACAATTGAGCATGTTGAGATGCTTGGTGGACTTCCTGATCAGTGATGGAGCAAGTGGGAGGAAAGTAAGGAATCGGCTTGATGAAGATGGACACCAGAATGTGAAAGAAACACTTCATCAGCAGTATGACAATAGCGCCAGGGACTGGACCCAGCGGTTCATGGAATGTATAAGCACCCACGAGAGAATGAGGTTTGATACCTTTTCAACAGAGGAGGAGAACGCGTTTTGTGACATTATGAAGTCGACGTTGGTCCTTGAACCAAGAAAAAGGGCCACAATTGAGGAAGCGGTGGGATATGAGTGGATGCAAAAATGGGGCCTGCCAGCGGTGCAGAAATGTGAGATGCAACACTGAAGAGCTCTTGGGCAGCTGCTTGGTTCCCAGAATATCCATTGGCTGATCCTAGACACAAAGAAGGTTGCTGGAACTGATATTTTGGAAACGCTTAGCCAAGTAGATAGAAAAATGGAACACATTGACCGCCCTTTAAAAGCCCCAAGTGACGAAGTACAGGACTCAGCAGATAAAATGAGGGAGGACCAGCATGAGTGCATGCGTAAAACATCCTGAACGGTCGTAGTTTGTGAATTTCCTATTTTGTGTTATGATGGGACCGACATAATTGCTCATTACAGAAATTTAATGTCATTCCTCAGACTCCCAATTACTTAGGCCATCTTTATGCTTGCATTTGGGGGCCAACCATTATTTTCTTGATGAACAGAGAATCGAAGAATGATGAAGTGGTAGTGAGGTGGCGTTGGTATCAAAAGCAACCCACATTTGAGATCCCCTCTTGTTCAAGCAAGGATTGTGTCCCACTTCTTTCTGCTGACCATTGTCCTTGAAAGTAGACATTTGACAGCCTCTCTTGTTATGATATTTTGCTGGACACAAAGTCATGATTATTGAAGAGACTACGGAGTAGCAGGTGGATCTGAACAGTAGGTTTCGCATAGATGGATCAAGCGCTTGGGTCTGAGGTCAACATGGGAAGATGATGGTTTTGGCCAGGGACGGGAAAATGGTGCTGCTCAATGCATGAGAGCAGGGATATTTGGGGATGATCCTAAAGTGGCTGCTGGTGATGAAGCGAGGGCATGATGATTACAGCGTACGGAGTACATATATCCGCACTCGGTCCGTTTTTCCAGGCTCTCCCGCGCTACAATAGCTCAGGTCGTATTGGCGTATCCCCTTGTCATTTAAAGTCGCCGAAGACGCTTCTACTTACGCTGCGTAGGCAACGTACTGCATACAAACACTGAGAGGGTCAACACTGAGCCGTTATGTGGATCTCGGATTTCATTTTGTCCCAGCGATTTGTTTTTGGTTCGGCATGCTGGTGGCTTAACCAGCCCTCCCTCGGCCCCTATCCATTTTTGAATATGGGCCCTGGTGCTGCCAGTACTGGTTATCGGTGTCTACGAACGATTTACGGAGCATCTTAAGTTTCATTTTGTCAAGCGGGGGGTCGGATACCAAAGTCTATTTCAGGCAGATTCCTTGCAATTTTTGGCATTTCTGCTCTGCAACACCATGAAAATCTGTCGTTGGTTCGAACCATTCTCTTCGCTGCCCTCTCCGAAATGCTTGTCATGGATTCTGGCTCAAATGTCGGCAGTCATACTTCAATTGTTTCGAAATTAGGAGGAATGGCTGATCTAACTATGTAACTTATGGCTACTAAAGATCAATATGGCATCGACCTCAGAGGGCTGCAAGTAAGTATCATCGGAGCTTTCCAACCAGTACGCATTGATCGTGGCTGGCTTCAATATTACCCGATCGGCGTATTAACGCCCAAAGCAACGTCACTCGGAACTCTAAATTTGCGGGGCATATTGACGAGCTGAATTGTTTTATTCTCAGGCTTGTGAAATAAGTATGCGTTTTCTGCATCTGGTGTATATAGTATATACAAACTCGACACTGTTGATTGAAGTTCAGATGCGAGGCCTGCCTAATATCCTTTTTTTAACTATATATAAGTTTAGTCTCTATATTTCTGATTTGATCTATACTTCTCAGCTTGAGATTTGAAGCCTTTTGAAGTTCTCCCAGAAAACATTTCCGAACAGGGAAGGGCCCAAAAGAGGAGCATAAATGGAAGCTTTCGAGAAAAATGCCTCGTCTTTGACTGTAGATGGCCCGGATCGTGTTATGCCTGGGATTGCTATGATTGCCGCGAATAGAAATGGTGAGGTTTCCCTCCCCCCGCCACCTCCAAACTTATTACTTACTGTTTGATCACTATAAAAAGGGGACCTTTTGTATTCCAAAAGCTTTGGCTTTACCGATGCAGGGCCGTTCTCTGTCGATACTCCGCTATGGCTGGCATCATTCACGAAGTTCATCACTTCAGTCGCCGTTCTGCAATGCGTTGAGAAAGGGCTCATCGATTTAGACGAAAACGTCGAGCGTATCCTCCCTGAGCTGTCGGATCTAGGCATTTTGTACGGCTTCGATGAAAAGACAGGAGAACCTCTTATCAAGAAGGCTGAGAAGAAGATAACTCTTCGTCATCTTCTAACCCATACATCCGGGCTTGCTTATGACAGGTGGCATCCATTGTTAGTAAAATGGAGAGAGGTCACTAAAACTACACCAGTAACAGGACTTCAGCCAGTTGTGAGTTGAATCCCATACCTTTGAGATTATTGGCATCAAGGAAAACTAAGTCTGGTAGGAAAAATTCACGTACCCGTTGCTGTTTGAACCTGGTGAGGGTTGGGTTTATGGCGCAAGCCTCGATTGGGCTGGAAAAGCTGTCGAACGCGTGAATGGAGGGATGAAATTGGAAGAGTACTTCAAGGCGAATATCTTTGAGCCTCTTGGAATGAAGCACACCACCTTGCGACCCTCCCAGAACAAATATATTCTGGACAATAAACCTGAGTCAACTACGCGAGCTCCGACCGGTGAACTTATACCTACCCCGGTACCAGTCGTAGAATTCATGCAACCTCTCAAACCTTTTGATGACTATGGAGGACATGGACTCTGGTCCACACCAACGGATTATATCAAATTTCTGATTTGTATTCTGAAAAACGATGGCAAACTCCTAGCACCGGAGACAGTTTCGAAGATGCTTGAGCCCCAACTCAGTGACAATAGTCATTTTATTCAAGCTATGCAGATGTCAGGGACCGAGCTGTCTATGACAAACGGGGTACCAGGAAATATATCTTGGAATCATTCGCTTGCTGGCGTCTTGGCGATGGAGGATATACCAAACAGACGCTTGAAGGGGGCATTAAATTGGCATGGAATTGATAATTCTTTTTGGGTAAGCGTTCCTGTGAACCAAATGAGATTTTCTAGAATACAAAGGAATGAAGCGGTCCACTAACAATTATTTCAACGCTCTTCTAGTGGGTCGATCGCGAACGTGGAACGTGCGGCCTTACCGCGACCCAGCTCTCTGGGCTCACTGACATAAAAGCGGTGTCGTTGTTCAGCGACTTCGAAGCTATGATCTTCGAACTTTCTGGTACTAAATCATCTTAAGAGCGAGTTGGTGGATAGATAAAGCAACCCTGATGAAATGAAAGGATTCAACATTCGAAGTTGAACAGCGATCGATTAGAACTAGCTAGCTACTACCAAATAAAACTCTGGTCTCTGTGTTTTTTTTTTATCGTTTTATTAGCTATGAATCGACTGTTTATTCTAGATCTAAATTACATGCAAATACAAGATATTATGATAATTCTTGTATAAACTCAATGGTGAAGTGTCCTATTGAAGATTTAAATGAGCGGTGTTTTTGGTGGAATTTCCTAACTTGAGATCAGCTTGCCGCGCAGTCTCACTAAACATTCAACAATTGCGGAATTCCTTTCTCATCGAGACTTATATATGCATCTAATCTCTGAACTAATAGTGAAGAAAGCAATAGTCAATCAGTCCCTGCAACAAATTGCAAGAAAAGAGAAGAATGCAATTAATACTCACAGGCATTCTCCAGGCCATCATCGTATTGAGGATGCATTCGAGCATAAGGATATTAAGAAAAAAAATGCTGAAATGGGCTTTAACTATTTGTTGTATAAAAGTTTTGCCAACAGAGCAAATAGGTTGGTTTCAAAAGGTTCATTCAAGCACTAAAACCACCACAACAGTCATTAGGAATTTATACTAGATTTTACATGTAAATTCCCTCTTATTATTTCTTCTGCTTTCATCTATCTTCTCTATATTCATTATCACCCTTTAGCTCATTATCTTCTTAATATAAATTGAAATCTGTTCAATCTATGTCTGTATATTCAATTGTGACAGTATCTTTCATGTTTTTGTG